TTATCTGCAGTGTTCCTGATGTATGGGTGTTTTGTGCATGAAGCAAATTTTGATTTATATAGGACTATTATATTCTTTGTAGGTGAAATTCTGCGTTATTCGTTTTCTTGATTGATTGATTAATTAATTATTGATTGTGAGTAATAATTTATGAACAGTACATTTATCCATCTGTTGAAAATCTGTTTGTTCAACAAAATTTTTAAAGCCCCACATTTCGAATGATTTTTTTATTATGATGATCTTCTCAAGTTTGATTTTTCAAGTGACGTGAATTTTAAATTGAATCGGAAGAATTTTGATGAAGAAAATTTGAAAATTTTGCATCAACTGTGTACATATTTTGTACCTATAGATATCTGCGCTGGTGTAGCAGGCAGGGCGTACTCCCCAGGTACAGCGTACTCCCCCTGCAGGAGGATTAGTCCACATCTGCGGAGTGCAATTCAGCAGAGGCTCTTCTGCAGTGATCACTTATGCAGTGGTATCTTCCACAGAATTCAGAGGAAAGTTGATTCCACAGTGATTCTTGAAGGCAAGAACCTACACCACCAGAAACGAGCGTTTTAATCCGTGTTGTCATTTCAATGCTGACATCTGTGAATGTCAGCCGAAAAAACAGGATGAGTTCCAGCTCCGATAACGGGAACGGCGGGCCTTCCAGTATGATTTCCGGAGATCAAAGATTTGTGTCCACCATTTGATAATTTTTCCCGTCGTGAAATGATTTCATGATCTGTGAGGGCATTAGTATTAGCATACTACACGATATTTAATGCAGCGTTATAAGCTGCATAGATTTATATCAAATTAGAAATCAGCTTGTGACTTCATGCCATTTCCAGCCTGCGTGGAAAACCTTGGTTTTTATGAATCTTTGTCGTTTGGTAGTACGACATTGTGCTACACAATTTTGCAGTGTCCTCGGGGTGATCGAAACTTCGGAAGCAACAAGCTAATGAGCACGTGGAAGAAGAATTTTTAAACTCCTGCCGATTTTGAGCGGCAAAACGAAATCTTTCACGTTTGTCCCGGTTTTTGTTGTTGAAATGATGCAGGTTGTTCGGGTCGGATTGTTTCCTGAAGAATTAGCCCTCGCCGATTGGTTGATTTTTCTGCGAGTCGAATGAAACAAGGTTTCCGGAAAGAAGGGTTAAACGTCATATCAAAGTGCATCATGTCATGTCCATCGTGATTCGAATGAATCCAATTTTATCCTCTGTTCCGCAGCTGTGTCTTTTTTTTCTGTGATACTGTTCCCATCGATGTGAATCAAAAATGAGTTGAACAGATGCTACTGTCATGTTTTCCCGGCGGATGCTTCTGCGCCACGCAGATCAAGACTTCTTGGTAATCAAGAACGCAATACTCTCTCGGACTAGACTCCAAGGAGATCTCTATGAAGATCGTGCATTTCCGGTACGGGTCAAGGATGCTGCATGTTCGTTCCCCAGTGCCATATGGAAGCATTTCAAGGTGAGATTATCCGAAAATCAATTATCGCGCTTATGTCTGATTGTGAATCGGAACGAATACACAGGAAGTCATTGGGGAGGATCCTGTTTGCATCCACCAACGGGACAGTGTCACGACTTTCATCAGAGGTGCTTTGGACATTCCTTGGCTGATCGTCTTGGGAACATTGATTGCGTCTTCCAGCGATATCCTCCAGAAGGTGAGTCTGAAACTGGGAGAACATGCCGGATATTGTCCCCAAAGCCCAGTGTTCATGATTTTAATCAGTCAACCGAAAACATGTACTGTTAACCTCTGTAGGGTTCTGAATTTTTCGTGTCCGCCTGCCGAAAAAAATTACGATTCTATTTATCACTTTTTTGTTGGTCAATGTTATAGAATTTTATTTAAATGATAAAAGATTTCAGATGCGTAGTAAATTGGAATTTGTTGCCATGCAGATCTTCCCGGATTTGAACGGACATGCAACTGGCTGCGAGCAGTCAATCTTCCGTGTGCACCTTTGGAAGTGGGGGAAATGGCACGAGATTGTTCTCGATGGTCGAGTCCCTGTCGATTCCACTTCGAACACCATTTTGTTGACTCGATCAAAGATCAACAATGAAATCTGGCCAACCCTACTGGAAAAGGCCTTCGCCAAGTGAGTGCTGGAATTTTTCGTTTATCCAGAAAAACACTATATCCTAATGAATGCATTTTCAGGTTATTTGGTGGCTTTGAAATACTTACCCGGCTCACTTTGCCGGACGCGTTAGTTGCGTGCACAGGAGGTGTTTTGTATTTCACGGACTTGCGAACAGAGACATTTTTGGCAGATGCGAGTTCAGAACGTATGCTATATCGTCGGATCCGGCGGGAACTTCGGAATAATGCGCTTATCTGCTGTCGAATACCGGTGTGTATGTCTTGAATTAATCCGAAAATTCGGAGCGTTAATTTAATTACAGAGCGACTGCGAACTTCTGTGTAAACCCTCATTCAGTGAGGCCCCGCATACCGAAAAAACGCGCATGACTCACGTCACGAAATAATTTCACATATTGAAATGGATTGGCCCAGGAAATTCTAACAATGTTTGAACTGAAGCAAGATACTTCTTCAGAAATCCAGGGGAAAGGAGGAAATACTGTAAATGCAAAAACTCAACCTCTTTACAATGTGGGAGATAAAGAAAATCATAGGAAGAGCTGTCGGGATTTCTTAAATTTCATTCTAATCAATATTGAATTTAAAAATTTTCTATTGACAAGTACAGTGCATGAATTGTATTGTTTATTCTGGTCTTTTGTCGACTGGCTGGAAACAATTGATTCAATAACTGTTGAACCTTGATAACTCGTATCTCCTCAAGTCAAATAGCTCCCTACGTTAATTATTTTCAAGTGAATAGGAAAGCAAGAAAAAGGTAATTTGAAGTGTTGTAAGAGGAAGTGAAAGATTAATTGGGCAAATGAACCCTTGCCTTCGAGTTCAGCATCCTGTCAACTCATTTAAGAAGCGGTTTAGGGCCCAGAATATCATCAATGGCAATTTTCTCTTAATTCTTCTTAACAACAAAAATGGTTTTTCCCCCAACTCCTAACCCGAGTTTTTTTTGTTGGTCCCTTGAAGTTCAACACGAAAATATGAGTGTTTTTTCGTTTCTTTTTTTTTTCGTAGGTGGCAAATGCACAGAGCAGCAGCGTCGGCTCTGCATCCTCATCAACAAACATGCCCTTCGGGCTCTTGAAGGGCCACTTCTTCACTGTGTTGGATGCCAGGACGATCCCGATGCTCTCATTGCGTGGCATCATTCGTGGGTCCGGGTTGCGAGACAAGCTGATGGTCCTGCGACTCTGCGACCCTCTGCACGAACAATCCACGCAAAACCTGCGGGGTTCCCGTCGCCGCGGATCCCATTCATTGCAAAAGTCTCGCACTGCGTCTGCCTTGCTTCCGGCGGCGTCCCCTGGCGCCATTTTAGAACATTCTCTGTCTTTCCCGAACGCGTGCACGTTGCCCAGGGAAGGGTCTCGTTCAGAGGCCGGCTACAATGCCAAGTACAACGTGTCTCATCCGTTTTCGGCTCGTCTCATGCCCGACGAGGTCTTCAATCTCGGACTGGCTGAGCCGCAAACGAATGCGTTTGACGCCGAAGCTCGGGCATCGGGGCAAGAAGGCTGGTTGCGGATGCAGGACTTCATCCGGTTTTTCATCGACGTTGTTATTTGTACGAATTGTTCCCCGAGTGTCGCGAGCAGTGTGACGAGGAAGATGCGGAGACGGGGTTCGGGGCGTTGGAGGAAGGAGGAACGCGTCAAGGGTTCCTGGACCCTGGGTGACACTGGGTCCTGGCTCGATCGCTCGGGTGGAGGACCGCATTGTGACACCTTTTTGAACAACCCTCAAGTGAGTCTCGCGGTTTTTGTGAGGCAGTGTTTGCGATGAAGTATTCAATCTCAATTTTGTTATTGTTGTGAAGTTCTCATATCGGTCGGATCTTTTGCTCTTGAAGTCGAATTTTAAGGGACCAACAAGAAAATTCGACTTCGAGAGGTTAAGGAAAACTAGGTCTGAAAATGCTTGCTATAAATTTTAAAAGCAGTGATTGAGGCTGAAATGTTCTCTCAAGTGAGTTTCGGGGATTGTGAGGGAGTGACATGAAGTTGTTCGCGAAGGATTATTTAATCCTGATTTTTTTTCTGTGCAAAATTTTAGTATCGGTTGGATCTCTCGAACCCTGTCAANCCAATTGCAATTTTTTATAATCCTTATTTTTTCCTTTTAAATGTAATTGCTTTCTTCATCAACTCGAATTTTTTCTGGTCTCTTGACTTGAAGAAGTTTGACGGTTGCTTTTGACTGCTTGATAAAAGTCTGGTCAAGTTGAATAAATTTAATAAATGTCCAAATTTTTGAACAGGAGAAGTCCTTGAGTATTTCTTCAATGAATGAATGAACAGAACACTTTATTTGCCACTTTTCAGCATTCACAAGGTTCAATCAAAATTTCCACAACCAAACCCCCTTCCCACGCAACACAAATCCTCTCAATAACATTTAATTACTCCAGAGCAGGAAACAGAGCACAAATTGATAACAAAAATAAAAGTAAATACAATACAACATGAAATACAACTGGACATCTGACATGTATGCATACACCCATTCATTCCCTGACATTGGTAACAAAATATATGTAAAAATTAATTTAAAGCACAAGGTCTTCAGCTTGTTTCTGTATGAGGTTTAGTTGAATGAACAAATTACAGAGATTCTTTGATGAGAAATCATACAAAGCCAACAGTTTATCTTGATCCTTTAAGATTTCAGAAAGGGTCTCTTCATTGAATTCCAGTACTGTACTTGTAAATCTATCTTGAGCTTGTTTCTATCAGTATGAAATGCTGGACATAAGAAGAGAAGGTGCTCTGGTGATGTACAAACTAATGTATTTATGCTGCAGGTGTTACACCACTTGGACACTTTTGAAAATTGGATGATTTTTTTACTAAAGTGCCATGAATTTGTCAAAATAGCTACAGTATCATGTATTACGGGGATTCATTTCTTCAATCACAAAAATGCCTCAAAGCCAAGAAATTGTGCAAAAAACGCGTAAAATCTGAAAATGAGAAGGCGTTGTTCTGGACCAAATTATGTGATAGCAAATGCAGCAGTAAAATATAATTACAGAAATTCAGTTGTGCTGGTGGACTTTGACAAAATTCAAGGGACCAGAAAAGTATTCTTTGTGGAGAAAATTCTGTTGCAGAGAACTCCTACGCCTTACTGTATTGAGAGAAACCTGTGGGATTATAAAAGAATTTGTTATACAGAGAGTCTACATTTAATAATTTGTTTTTATTATCTTCCTTGCGATGACCTTTTTTTGTGCACAACGGACGAAAAAAGATGAGCCTGAATCTTCTTTTTTTTTTTTTCCTCCAGAACCTTGATGAAATAATGTGCCATTAGTAATTGCACGTTGAATGGTCGACATCCTTTCTACGGAATTGTATTGTTTCACTGTATGAACTCTTGCCGCGTGTTTCAATTGTGTCATTTTGGCAGGTCGCATTACGGTTGGTGTCATGTGCGAAGGCAAGTCGTGCAGAAGCTGGGCCGCAAAAATGCCTCAGGATGCCGCCAACAACCCGCAGCTGTTTTGGAACCTTGTCGGGTTCGACTCTGTGTTTTACCGGAAAAGCCTGACCTCCAAAATTCTTTTGGAGGTAATGATGATGATTTTTTTTTCTAGCTTTGGTTAGGCTACGAAGTTCGAGGAATTCGTTGCGCGAATCATTAGTGAAACTGATGATCCACCGACAATCGGTGAATTTTAATATCGTAGTCTTTGTTTGGACATTTGAGAAAATTTTTTTATGGAGTTGAGCGAAGTCCGGAAGAAGTAGAAATAAATTGGAAATTATTAGTGAGACCCCGAGATGCGGACGTAATTGGTGCATCAAGAGTGTCCCTAAGTTGAGTCTCATTTTCCCTTAGACTTAGATTATATAATTTGATTGGTGTTTTATGGACAAAATACTCACCATAATTCCATGAAAATAAAAATTTTCTCCCAATTCAAACTGATTCAATCAATATATTTCAACCCAATTTGGACATTTGGGGAATTGAATACTGATACCTCTGTAAAGTACATAGAAATGTTGGCATTCTCTGTAAAAATAACATTCAAGTGAAAAAGAGAAAAGAAAGTCCCTCTATGTTGGAGGTAATTTTTTAATTAGTTGAATGGATGGTAAGTTGGTGAGAGAAATGCCCAAGAACTTTTCTTACATCAATTTTAGGGTTGGAAATACCTATTTCTTGTAATTTGGCCTGAAATGTATTTGCAATTTCATCACAAAATGTCCCCATGTTGAGTCAGTGTCCTCATCTTTGGCCTTTTTTATTTTATTTTTATGGGAAAATAAGTTTGCGTATGTCGAATTGTCCACATGTCAAGGTGTCCGCATGTAGGGGTCTCACTTTAAAATAAATGTTTTTCAATTATTGATGCCAATTGCTCGATATTTTTATTCAACTTTTCTTCTTCTTTGTGAATCAGGTGCACAAGAAGGGGTTGTTGGTTCCAGTGCTTTTGGGCAGGTGTGAAATCACAGCCAGTGACGTGACACAGACGCACGAAGCCGGCGAAGAGCGGATATTCAATTTGACAAACACTCGTCGTTTCCGCGACATCCGGGACGAAGACTTCCACTTCCTTCCGGACACCTTGGAGGTGGAGAGACGACTCTCTGTGTACAGTATTTGCGTCTCGCTGAAAACAGTGGCCAATTTCAAGGACCTTTGAGACTTACGAATCGTTGTGTCCTCCCCATTTTTTCTGCGTTGGCTGTCTTTTCAAGGGCATTTTTTCAGAGATATCCTCTCTTGATGACGGGACTTTCGTATTGCGTGTCTTTCTTTGGGATAGAGAGAGAGAGAAAAGCGTGGGGTTTTTTCCACACTCTCACCAATGTTTTTTTGGTTGTTTGTGTCTTGCCAGTATTTGTGTAATATCTTGGAAGTATTTTTTGGTGTTCAATTTTATCGAGTCTCAGGGCTTCTGCGAGAGCAGCTGGAATATGGAGAGACCTTTTTTTCCTAGGGAAGAGACTTATTGGTGTTTTAGAGATCACGACCCAGGTTTTTTTGATGTGCTTGTAGTGAGTAAGGTATGTAATTCTTTGGTGTTGAGACGGAGAAGAAAAGGTTGGTGATGCGGAGAATTTTGAGGAAAAAGTATTTCGAAGTGGGATTATTATGAGACTGAGTCTCTCTTTCTTACTATTCGAGGCAGTAGGATATTCCCTGTATTTTACTGTTTAACCCAGCAAAACGAGGGATTTATTTTCAAAGGGACGAATATCTCGCACTTTTTGAACCTCTCAGAAGTGGAAGAAGTTCGCTTTCGAGACCTGAATAATTTCTTTTTTCTTCAGCTTCTGTTGATCTTAATGCTTGAAGCTGCTTTAAAAATACAAATAAAAAACACCTTATTCTGTGGTCTGTTCAGCAATTTCATAGGAGTGATCCGCAATTTTTTTTGTTGCAAAAAGTATCTGTTGTTTCGGATGAAAATTTCAGGACGTATCAAAATTCCCATCGATTTAAAATTTTTACAAATATTAATTCCTTGAATTTAGAAGGTAATATTTAATTTTATATGCAAGTCATATTTTAAAGTTTTGTAAATTTGATTTTGTTTCCTGGTCTGTTCAACAATTGAATGAGAAAGGCCCGCACATCTTTTGTTGTTGCAAAAATATCATTTTTTTGTGTGGAAAATATCGTGTCTTGTGGAATCCCTATCGATAAATATTTGTAAAAAAATATTAATTCCCCCATTTCTATTCAAATTTAATGTATAAAAGTCATCTTTCAAAGTTTTCTGAATTTAATTTCGTTTAAAGCTAATTCTTAAGCTTCACTACGGATAGAAAAATAATTTAAATACTTTCAATGATGGAAAAAATTACGAAAGACGGAAGATTTTTTGCGCGTCGAAAATGGTTTTCTTTCTTACTTTTCACAAATGAATCCTGGATGAAAACTAATGCCTTCTTTCGCGAGCAGTTGAAGTTTGACTCGTTTTTCAACTTTCGATCATTGCTTTCAGTTTTGAGTGGTTGTAAAAGGTTCGAGGTGTTGTCAACTTAAAGCGGCAGATTTTTGGGTAATGTGATATTTCAGAAACCAGCCTTCCCGCCGTCATTCCCAGGTTGTGTACAATAGGAGGAATTTTTTTTACTGTGACAGAATCAGATTTTGGACTGAAAATGGTGACAAAATTGCATCAGAAAAATGATAATTTGAAAGCAGGGATTTTTGATCACTGATTTGAGTATTTAAAAGAATCATAATCTCCTCTAGTGTTGGGGAAGTGACCTTTTTCAATTAAACTTTCTTGGAAGGTTGCTTGAATTTTTAACCCAGTCTTCAATTGATCATTAAAATAATTTTACATTATTTTTGGGTGAATTGTTGCCAAATAATGCCACATTGACTTGGGAATGACTGGATAAAAAGTAGAACTCAAGCA